ATCTGTTGACATAACTAGTATGTATATGATTTAAAAAATTTGATTTTTGATGGTTGCATCGGAGATTTTAGACCATGCACAACTTTTTTTCGTAAAATTAATAATAAAAGAGAGAGTTATAACCTACACCTCATATTCCACGGCAAAATCGCCGGAAGAAGGGGACAAGGCCGAAGAAGAATATCCTGGCTCCGAAATCTCCAAGGGTGGTATCAAGAGACATCCGCTAGTCTGTTGCTGTAAATAAAAAGTCATGATAGCCTACGTTCGATAAACGGAGAGGGTACTGAAAGAAGAAGTATAAGTTATTGTAAAATTAAATCACTGAATTTATATCAGTAGACTCTCTGGAGCTAGTTAGACGGAAGTATGTTCTGAGATAAATCCTTAGAACGGTATTATTTCAAACAGGTAAACGGTAGTGTTTTGGTCATAAAACACTTCGACTTTGAGTTGAATTGGCAGCAAAGTGTATAATATATGGGTAATTTAAGTTAGCGGGGCAGTTAAAAGATAGATGTATAATATATACACACACTCAAAAATGTTTTGCATAATGTAATATTTTCAAAATTATCCACCAAATCTGGTGAAATCTATTTTTTTGTAACAAAATACTTTATTATATATTAAATTGTTTGTTTTGAAAAAGAAACAATAAACAAAATTTAAAGAATTAACAATTTATTGTTATTATGTATAATATGTATTATAAATATATTTTTTTAAAATTTGTACAGATATAAGAACTAATACTTAATATGCCGTATTTCCACCTCTTGCATTAATGCAAGACTGAATGCGATGTCCCATGCTTCTAATAAGTGTATTAACGTAGTTCTGGTCCATTGTGCCCCATTCTTCAATCGCTGCTATTCTAAGGTCTTGTAGTGTCCTTGGGGGTGGCTGCCGGAACTTAATTTATCTTTTGAGCATATCCCGTGCTCAATGGGATTAAGGTCAGGTGAGCAAGGTGGCCATTGTAATCTGACGATATCTTCTATCTCTAAAAAATCTGCTACATGTCTCGTACGATGGGGAGGCGCATTGTCGTCCATAAAAATAAATTCTGGACCAACAGCTCCTCGCCACAAGCGTACAACAGGCCTAAGAATGGTATTAATATAAATTTGTCCATTCATGTTACCAACAATAGGAATTAAAGGAGTTTTATTATTTAGCATGATGCCGCCCCAAAACATTAAGGAGCCACCTTGATATGGGACTCTTTGGACAGACTTTGGCTAAGTCTATCCTGTCGATTTGGGCTCCTCCAAATCCTAATTCGGCGATTATCCGACAAAAGGCTAATTTTCGTTTCATCAGAAAATAAGACCTTTCCCCATCTGTTGTCATGCCATTGTAAATGTTCATTGGCCCATTACAGTCGAGTCCTTTTCTGCTCTAACGTAAGCTTTGGTACAAACAACGGTCTTCTTGTAAATAAATTCGCCGAATGTAACCTGTTTCTAATAGTCTGATCGCAAATTACAATATTATGAGCTTGCTGGAGCTCTCTTCTAGTAGCTGGGGCAGTCATAGAGGGGTTTCTCCGGGCAGTTAACGTTAAAAAGCGTTCTTGGACATTGGTAGTAATTCTGGGTCTTCCGCTTTTTTGACGATCGCTAACAGAATTCGTCTCTCGATATTTTTTCACAATCCGAGACACATCACTCTGATTAACTCCAGCCTGGACAGCAACGTCGACTTGTGTGTGGCCTTCCTCAATCAAAGTAACGATTCTAGCTCTGTTGAACTCAGATATCACTTGCCTATTCATATTGTTTACTAAAAAGTGAATAAAACGCAAACCAATTTTTACAAATATCGGTTTTCGAAAACTGATGAACACAATATGAATTCTAAGAATCTCTGCGACGATTAAGAAACAAAAAACAAGCGCAGTAAAATACATTATCTTAGTAGACAAACAAGAATCAGTGCAAAAAATTTTAAATTGGAAACGTTCAGTGGCGTTACAGATAATATGCAAAACATTTTTGAGTATATATATATATATATATATATATAATATATATATATATATATATATATATATATATATATATATATATATATCATGGACGTATAAATAAAGATTATACGTCCATGTATTTACTTTAAGTAATTCATGTATAAGTGTCGTGATTCCTACATTTTATAAAGTTAGGTGGGGGCTTTGAGTTATTGCTGTATTCGAGAACCTGTTCCATTTTTTGTCTGTCTTCATTGGGTAGATCTTCAAACCATTTCTGTTTCGACTGGGTATCTTAATCTCTTTTTCATTTGTACTGTTTGCCAGTCATTGGACTTGTGTTTCATTTTCAACTGGTGTTATGTTAGAATTAGGATATATTTGTATTGGTTGAGAGCTTTGGAAAAGGAGTGGATTGGGTAAATAGGATGTTAAAAGTGTTACAAACTAGGGAGCTATAGGTTACAAATGCTGTGATATTAGTCCCTGTATCTAAGGGTAATTCAGTTGGCTATATTGGAGAAGGATTAGGATCCTAGAAGGAACCTTAGGTAGAAAATTATCTACCTTATCGGCAAAACTTTAATCAACTATTATACGACGTATGTTTATCGCTTTACTTGTCCGCTGTCGACACCATGTTCACTTGACGAAAGCATAATGAGTACAAAGAATTATTTAGATATAAAAATAAAAGAACAACCTACCCTGTTGAATGGCGCGGTAGACATTTATTTTTCTTTATAGTAAACTATATTTTAATAACCAAAAATCTATAACCTCTGCTAACTGTCTTTTACGAAACTACTTAAATTGTTTTAAACTATTAAAGTAGTATTTACTGACAATACTGTATAAAATCTTTTTGGGTTAAATTACTATTACAGTATAAACAGGAAATAAAAAACATTTGATTGAAATAATGTAATAAAATCTAATATTACATTGCAAATAACTTGTCAACTACATGCAAAAATACAAAAATATAATTCTGTATGTTCTTGTCTGGGAATGCTTACCACGAAATGCACCTAACATTCGAAAACCATTCATCTTCAAGCCTCATTAACCTCACAAAATATAAAAAAAATCGTGAATTAATACAATAATTATCCAACATACAATGATATATAACACTCATGAACATCTATACTATAAATAATATAGGCATTTTAGATAATATTGCAAGCTTTTTTCAAAGCTGCCAAATTTTAGTATACTTTTTTATTAATAACTTTTAACAAACATTTTATTTGCATATGTTTATGTAAATTGTAAATAGTTTATACAATCTTTTACGTTTGATAACATCTATGTAATCCAAAAAATCCAGTTTTCCATGAAAAATAAAATCATGTTAAACATCATAATGTAGTAAGATAGTATCATAATGGAGTAATACACAAAATTACCTAATACAATATTTTCTATTTAGTGGAGTGGAAGGAGTGATAAAAAGTGAGAAAAGTCTGGTATATGAAGTAAAGATGAAATTTCACAAGAAAATCAAATATATATATATATAGTGAAGGTATGAGACACTCTAATTGTAGAGGAATTACCGTGACAAATTTTACACTAACAAGATAATGTCTAGACACAGTGGGTATCTTTAGGAATGATTCTGTATGCATAAGTGCCATATAAATTTCAGCACACATATGAGATATGACGAGCTGTATCATAGTGCTATGTGCAATATGATAGAGATGTGAAGATATCAATCTTTGACAGTTTAATCTCATGAGTGATATCACTGGCTTAAATGCAAATGTATGAATCAATTTACTAAGACGATCTGATAAGTTCTCGTCTCTGCTCAGAGATTATAGATGCGAAGTACATGTCACATGTTTTAGTAGAGGACATTTACAATTGCAAAACATTCCAGACAACAGTTGAGTATAGGCAGTTATTTGAATTAGCGGGGGTACGTAAAAGTAGATTTGTGACCAATCAACATTAATAGGCGGTTTGTAAATATATATGGCAACTCTCACCTTCAAATACCACTGTAAACAAATTGGCAAGTGATTTTAACTGTGGTCACGTGAAAGGGACATTCAAAGCGAAAAATTAAATTAAGAATAAATATGAAACTGGCTGTATCACCAGAACCCAGTACTTCTGCTACTAATTAAACGTAAATCACGATATCTAAACAATATCCATGATGTTTTTTGATTTGTACTAAATAATTTCATATAATTGTTGAATAATCATATGTATTAAACATGCCACCCAATACACAGCAGAATACTATTTTTTGTTCAAGACAGAATAGTTTTAAGCGAGATATTTTGCCAAAATGTAAGTAACTGGTAGAAGATCAAAGAACTAGAACTACATATATTTAGTAGTAGCAAAGATGATTAGGGATTAGGGTAGGGTAGGGAGTAAATAGAAAGACTGAATATAAAAAAAGAACTAATAGAGTTTTGAAGTACAGAGTTCAGAAAATATTGGTAGAAAGTGTATATTAAGATTTGTAATAAACAAAAAGGAATTGGAAGGAAAAAGTAGTCAACAAAAAGGTTCTATAAAAGGTTATAAAATAATGTATATTATCCTTTTAATTAAAGAAATCATGATTATCTCTAAGGTTTCTAAGGCCTCCACAAATAATTACCATAATCTGTAGTCAAATATTTTTGTAATTTCTAGTACATCGTTACTCCTGTTAGAATTTTTAAACAACTTCATACACCATTATTTATTTTTAATATCTAAAATTGTAAATCTGAGATATTCTAGATACATTACATGATACCTTTAAAACAATTGCTATGAACAATATTAGTTTTACTTTAAAAACTTTATCACATTGTTAAATAGTTTCATAAATGTTGAATATTCAATATAAAAACATGAGCATACGAAACTAACTAGGAATATAATCTATCCTATGTCTATGATTACATAAAAGAGCACTTAGTATGTTATGAGTTACTTTAGAATCAAGAAACTAGATAGATATTTTTAGGTAATGGATTAAATATAATCTAAAATGCCCACATTTTACACTTTACTTCTCATCTGCTTTCGCTACATCCAATTCACTGATCTTTTTAGTCAAGTCCACACATTCTTTTTCATCAGATTCATCGTTTTTGCTTTCATCAACACTATTTTCTAAAGAAGAGTTGTGTTCCTCTGACACGTCTTCATTTTCTTTATTGTTTTGGTCATTGTATAATTCACATTCTGTAGACACAATCTTTTTTGCTTCTTCGAACTTTTCCTTGAATAGATTTGCATCTAAAAAAAATTAAAGGGTCAATTTGGGTTCTTAGTGAGCAGAAATAAAACAGTTAAGATATAAAACAAGACTGTAAAATATAAATATGAAATTTTTAGAGATTCTATAATTTGTAAAGTAACGACAAATTTGTGAGCGCTTGTACATCAATATGCACAAGTAAAAAATATTATTAGACATATAATATACATATCTGAGTATTTGGTGTATCTGTTTAGTTTTAGAGTATATATTAATATTACTACCCTTGTTCTGTATTTTAACACTTAAATACTTAAAAATTGGAAATGCTTTGCTTTGACACTTTGTCCTTATAAATTTTAAGACTGCTTCTATATGTATGCTTAACCATACAATTAATTAAAGACTAAAATGCCCGAAAAAAATTGTTTCTTAATTATATTCGTTAGCATATTTGTTGCTTCATAATACAGTTAGTTCAACATGTCTATTTGTCCTTGACTGTTCACCAAAATGTGCAATATATCTAAAGTAGTTCAACCATTGCTCATATTTTATTCGATTCTATTTTCTCCCATAGCTTCTTAATTGTATTCTTAGTTTAATTGTATCTTCTATTACTCTTGCTCCTAGTTTTCATGGTACTTCTTTTTCTTCTTCGTGTGCCATGACTGGATTCTGTAAGATTACCCATATTGCCATATTTCAAATCTGACAAGACAAGGTAGGATTAATCTGATTTTATTAGAAAACCACTAACATAACATATATATATATATATATATATATATATATATATATATATATATATATATATATATATATATGTATATATATATATATATACCGGTATTTAGGCGGTACGCCCTTCCGGTAGGGATCTATGGAGGAGTATCACCGAGCCGCAAGCCCTTGTCTCTTGCCGTACTGCTCCACCATAGGCCGATCAGACACCCAGCATATTCTAGTCTAAGCCACAGATTCATCTAAAATTTTAAACTGCTGCGTTAGCCTTTTTATTTTTCTGTACACCGAGCTGGGGCTCGATCCCGCGTCCGCTGAACCATTCGACAGTGAAGCGAATGAGAACCGGCCGCCTAGCCCGCTTTGCTATCTGACCCACTACTAACATAACAACTTACATTTATTCGGATCGTATTCATAATGACATCATATTATGTCAATGTTTTAGTTCACTTTGTAAAAATGCCCAAAAAATATTAACTCATATCCTGTCAACTTCAATCCTGTTTTTAGAAGTTATATGTATTTATTTTTTATCCAATAATATTATTATATTACCTATATCCTATGATTTGTGTGTGGGTCACAAGTTATAAATTCAAGTTATAGTGTACAAAACGGAAGTTTAGAGAGTTTCAACGTGAACTAATTACTATTTAAATGGAAATAAGCCACAATTACAGGTTAAAGTATGTTTATTGACGTTACAATTTTGAGAAACATTAGTAAATAATTTACTAATGTCACTACTAACGTCAAGAAAGTTACTTTAACCTTTAATTGTGGCTTATTCCCATTTAAATAGTAATTTGTTTAAAATGCCACAAGAAAATAGCTTCAGAACAATTATAATGTGAAGGAGAAGACCAATGAAGAAGGATGTCATAAGCTAGCGAGAATGATAACAAGGTAAACAAAAAACAAAACAAAAAGAGAGAGAGAGAGAGAGAGAGAGAGAGAGAGAGAGAGAGAGAGAGAGAGAGAGAGAGAGAGAGAGAGAGAGAGAGAGAGAGAGAGAGAGAGAGGGAGGAGACGCTCAGTGCCAAAGTGAACTAAGCGACAATTGGAGATTTCCTGAATACGCTCTTAAATGAGTCCATATTACTTACATAATGCCATAGAAGTCTAACAGACATGCTTAAGCCTTGTAAAACACTACACCACGTCTTATGAGATTTATGAGGAGCATTTATGAAACTTAGATGTATACTGAGTAATTATTTCAAAAATTTACAACTAAGGATTTAATTTGTTATATGTAAATATACTGTATTATTATATGGATGCGAAACATGGATCATGAAGGATAATATGATGGACAATTTAAGATGTGACTCAGGTATATGATAAAGTATGGCAAAGACGCCATAACTATAAACTAAGACTATATTTACCAAAACGATACTCTCAAATAATTGAATCCTGCATCTTGGAAAGATATTTCAGAATTAAACAGAAAGATACATACACGGAACTGAAAGAAATTACAGCAGGGCTGCCACAAAGAAGTGTCTTTACCTTTTGAATATGTGTTATATTATAGTCCTATAATACAATTGCAACATTTACCGATGATACTATCATAACAATATATATATATATATATATATATATATATATATATATATATATATATATATATATATATCTATCTATAGCTATCATATATATACTCCAGGGAAATAAGCATAAAATAGACCATGCTCGTGACACTCAATAATCCAGGTCCAGGAGAGAGAGAGAGAGAGAGAGAGAGAGAGAGAGAGAGAGAGAGAGAGAGAGAGAGAGAGAGAGAGAGAGAGAGAGAGAGATGTGTTACACTTTATGTTAAAAATAAAAACAGATTCGGAAAGTGGGTCAAATTCTGTAGTGCCCTATTTCAGAAAAAAAAGTTTTGCATTTATTTTAACCAAAAATATTTGAAAAAAAAAATATTGTTTAAACAATTTATTAATTTACAACCAAATAGTGCACTAGAACTTTTTAGGATTTTCATATAAAAAAAGAATCATCTCAATATCTGCCAAAATTTTTGCGTAATTTGATATAAAGTTTTACATTGGAATTTAGCTATGCCCAGAATCGTGAGGAACGGCCGTAAGCGGCAAATACATTGTGTTTTTAAATAGGCTTGTGAAGTGTTTTTACATGCGACTTTTGGTGGTTAAATATAAGGAACATGTTTCGTAAAAGAACAATAAAAATGGTAGAGAAGTGTACTGATGTGTTACAAACTGAGGCCAATAGCAAAGGTGAGCCATTATTAATTACAACCCAATTTAAATTATGTTTACATTTTTAGGTTATGTCATGTAATATTTTCAAATAAGTTCTATAGTTTTGTAAATAACAGGAAATAGTCTATATAATTTATACAGGGCTATAAAATATTATAAAAAAATATTGTAAAAAACAACAAATGCCCTGGAGAAGATGGTATACCCCCTGAGCTGTTCAAGTATGGAGCAAACGCCCTAAAAAAATAGATAATAAAACTTGTTGCTTCCATTTGGAGAGAAGGAAAACTCCCAGACAGTTGGAATGTAGGTATTATAATACCTATTCACAAGAAAGGGGATCCACTAATATGTGACAACTATCGAGGCATTACTCTCCTAAATACGGCTTACAAAGTACTGGCTTATATACTTTATGATCGTTTACTAGTATATACTGATGAAAAAATAGGCAAATACCAATGTGGATTCCGAAAAGAAGGTCAACAATTGATCAGATTTTCCTTCTCAGACAAACCTTAGAAAAGACATATGAATATGGAATTGATACCCCATCACCTCTTCATTGATTTTAAAAGTGCTTATGACAGTGTACACAAAAGCGCACTTTATAATGCCATTGCAGAACTAGATATTTCGTCGCATCTAATAACATTGGTAAAGGCAACTCTTTCGAAAGTTGAGTGCAAAGTCAAGGTATAGAACACAGTGTCAAGGTCTTTTCAAACACATACTGGATTACGCAAGGGAGACAGTCTATCGTGTCTATTGTTTAACATCGCGCTAGAAAGAGCCAAAGAGAAATCGGGCATAACAACCAGAGGTACGATCATCAATAGAAGTGTACAGATATTGGCCTACGCAGATGACATTGACATAGTAACACGGAAAAAAACAAAACCTGATCAAGGCTTTTGAAACATTAGAAAAATCCGCGAAGACAATGGAACTGCAGGTTAACGTATCCAAAACAAAAGACATGAAGGTCACGAACAGCACACAAATAGCGGCACCACAAGATCTGGTGACAGAAGCACACACATTCAAAGGGGTCTAGGAGTTTATATATCTTGGAACACAACTAAATAACAGCAACCTAGTAAGCGTAGAAATTAAGAAAAGAATATATCTGGCGAACAGAGCTTACTTTGGACTAAAGCAGTTCTTAACATCACACATAATTAGCAGAAAAACCAAGATACTAATATATGAAACTCTTATTAAACCTGTCCTGACATACGCGTCAGAGACATGGACTATGGTAAAAAGCGACGAAGAACTGTTAGGCCGCTTTGAAAGATGAATACTTAGACACATATGTACGGAGGAGTACAAGAAAGCGGAATATGGCGCAGGCGCTACAATTTTGAGTTGTATCAATTGTATGAAAAATGCAACATCGTCCGGTCTATTTAAATTAACCCACTAACGTGGCTAGGACACCTTGAAAGAATGGACACTAGAGACCCCCAAAGACAAATATTCTATCAAGAGCCAGTAGGAACCAGGAAGGGAGGCAGGCTAAGATCTAGATTCAAAACTCAAGTTGAAGATGACTTGAGTGGGGAATGGAGACTAATTCTTGAACAGGCCAAGACCCACCCGGGTTGTAGAGAGAAAGATGATGATGATGAGGTACCTGAAGAGTTATCTTAAATAAAAACTTAGAAAGACAAAAAGAAATAGGGTTAGGTTAGGTTTAATTTGAGTGGGTGTTTAACCAAACTTCTACCCAACCTAAGGGGTATATTGTGGCTCAAGAAATGAGTATCTGATAATTGTTTTGGTAAATATATAAAAAATTTACATATTTGGTAACTGCTCTTTTCTGTAGAACACTAGGAATATAAAATAACATAATTTCAGGGAGAAATTTGTTGTAATTTTTAGCATCATTCTTCATATCATACAATTTATGACATGCATTAATATATGCTTTAATCCATGACCCTATATTATATAAAGAGATTTTTATTGACAAATGTTTAATTGTTAAAGCAAGCTAATTTGTTTTCTCTATCAGTATTCTTATTTATTTATTTATTATATAATGGAAAAACCCCATTAATAGACTAAAACACAATAAACGCTTAGGTTTAGTACAAAAATAAATATTTTATCCTAGTAATACCTTCATGTAAATAAAATATAATGAACTTAACTACAAATCATTATTTTAATGTTAAATTTCAAAATAAACCAAGTCTTAATAAAAAAACTAAAACAAAATGCAACAATTTTCATTAAAGTTATGTTAAAAATATGTTAACTGGCAACAAAGCCTGGATAGGATGGTGCATTAATGTAGATCTGGCCCAACAGAGCCACACAGTCAATGCCACCACTAAGTATCCTGTAAATAAATTAAACCCAAATAATCTCTCCTAAAGAAAGTTGCCTCTCCTTGGACAAGAATGGTTGTAAATTCTTACAATAGAATAATTATGAGAGTAAAATTTTTTGTTGTACTCTTTCTATCATATTTACATAGGTTTACTAAGCCATGTTCCAACAATGACCTAACCCATGCACAATAAACCCATCTCATAGTGTCAATGGAAATTAATTTGCAATTTCTGAATACAAAACCCAACATTTTAAAATCTTTCAGAGACATAAATATGGTCAACAAAAGTTAGTTTTTCATCAAAAATTATACCATTGTCCTTTACTCTAGATACATGTATTAAATTCTGGTCATTTATTGTATAATTTGTATCAATTCTGTAAGCACTTCTAGTAAAGCTAATAAAGCAGCATTTAGGTAGGTACACTTAATAAAAGCTTATTTAAGTCACACCACTCCAATAAATGATCTAAATCAGCTTACTGGCTTACTAAGAGAATCTGGTTGGATACACAATTAATTTGGTCTCCAGAATTTAAGATCATCAGCAAATTTCACACAGCAGATATTTAGTAAGTAGGTTATGACATTAGATTTAAATATACTGAGCATAAAGGTGAGCAATGACCACTCAGTGGAACAGATGTTACTATGATTGAATCTGACAATTACCACCTTTAACTCTTTTAGAACTTTTAAACCAACAAACCATTTGAAAACAAAAACGAGATGCCACTATTCTTTTAAGCAGTATTTGATGATTTGCTCTATCGAATGCCTTCAAAAAATCTGTGTAGATGGCATCTATTTGTTTGTGACTCTCCATGTAACTGATAATATCCAACTAATAGGTAACCAGATTAGTAACTGTAGATTTATTCTTACTAAAACCATGTTGTTGTTCCGGAAGAACATTCTTACACATCCATGATAATTGTTGACTTACCAAGCAGTCAAATAACTTTGGTATGGCTGACAGACACTTTGATAGTTCTCAATGTTCTCTTTGGTACCATTTTTGAAAACAGATACAAAAAAGCTCTCATTCCAGGCATCTGGAAAGATCGCCGTTTTTAATAATTTATTAAGAAGAATTAAGGGCAACACTATTGAACATACACATTCTTTGAGAAAAATATTCGACAGTCCATCTGAGCCAAACGCAAAAAAATAAATGTTTGGGCAGGTATTTTAGGAAACCACATAGTTGGACCTGTTTTTCTCAATACTAACTTAACCGGTGAAGTGTATCTGATGATGTTACAAAATGCAATTGCACCATTAATACTTGAAATTCTGGAGGATAATCCAGATGAATTCGGCAACTTGGAAATAATGTTTCAACAAGATGGTGCTCCTACACACCATTATGGTGCAGTAAGACGTTACCTAGATGAGGAATATCGTAGTAGATGGATTGGACGACAAGGTATGATAGAATGGCCAGCTCAGTCACCAGACCTCACATCGTTAGATTTTTTTCTGTGGGGATACTTGAAATATAAAGCTATGCTACAGCAACCGACAATATTGACATTTTGAAATAACGAATTTTTGAAGAATGTAGGGCAATTTCCCCTGACCCATTTGAACGAGTACGACAAGAGTTTAGGAAGTAGATGGAGCACATTTTGGACACTTACTATAAGAACTGGTTGTTAAATATTTATCAATTAAATAAGAAGCTACAATTTTAGTATTTATGAAATTTATTCATCAAAATGAAAATAAACTCAAACACAATTATTATGACTGAATAGGTATTTTCAATACCTTTCAAACGAGGTATCATTTGCCATAAGGTCCCATTTAAAATTATCTCACAGTGGCGCTGTAACGTCATCTGTCACTATTACGTCACCTGTTATGACTAGTTGAGACGCCTACATCTGTTTATTACCTTCCTCCAAATTTCACTATTATAACAATAACCAATCAAAAGATACGAGGAGGGGGGAATGGACTTTTGACTAGCACTGTATAGAGAGTGGGCCAGATTTTTCATAAGTCAAGTTCCTTAATGCTTTAGAAAACCATTTAGAAAATGTAGATGTTGAATACCTTTTTAACAGTATACAGTAAAAGATACAAATTAGTAAAACATAGGATAAATAGTTATTCAGATCTCTATAATTTATATTTCTAAAATCATAAAAAAATTCACAATAAGAGAGATTATCAGAGCATGTCTTTTTATTGAACGGTATTGAACACTTGTATACTATATGGTGGAGAGAGAAATTTAACAATGGGTCACTTACTCTGAGAATGTCCACTTAGCATTAGAAAAAAAAACAAATTTAAAAATACACCCCTATTACAGTGGAACCTCGATTATCCGTCTCTGTATTAACCGTCACCTCTGTTAACCGTCAGGGTCCATACATAAGTTATATTGACAACTTCAGTAAAAATTTAGTCTTCAATTCATTTTGTTTGCAAAAAATTTTCTACCAAAGACAATTCTTATTTTGGTCAATGCACCTGGCCATCCTAAAGCCGGTATGCTGTGGAGTGATGATAAAAATATCACATACTCTTTTCTGCCTTCGAATACAACATCATTGATACAACCAATGGAGCATTCAGTCATTAAAACATTCAAAAGAAGATACAGAAAAAATTTACAAAATCTAGTTATGGAAGAGTAATATTCTTTGCCAGAATACTGGAAAGCCTACAGTTTAAAACATGCAGTCGACAATGCTGTGGATGCTTGGGCTGATGTTTCAGAAGTAACGCTGAAAAGAGGGTGGAATAAATTATGGCCTGAATCAACACCATTGACGAAAATGCTCCCCTTAAATGAAGTTATGGCTGAATCAACTGTTTTGTTTTCGTTGCCTAAAGATGACATAAACGAATGGTTAATTTGTGATGTTTACACAAATGGCTATCGATCGCTGACAGATGATGATCTCATTGAAACGGCAACAGAGGTGGATGAAACTGATTCAGAAGCTGACAAAGACTTTGATGGTGGCGATGTGTTGATGTTATTAAAACTCACAAAGATTAGCGTAAAGAAGCTAGATGTGATGATTTTGTCAATTAAGAAATTCAGCCGTTGCAAAATGTGTAGAAACAATAAAACAAACAAAGATTTCGGAATAATTTAAATCAAATTGATTCAACTGTACTAACATAAATCCCTCTTATATTGTCTAATAAAACATGCAAATAAAATTTGAGAGTTATACTATGATTTTTTTTTTAATAGTCAAGAGTCATACCCTTGGCCTGGTGCCGTGACTGATAATCGAGGTTCCACTGTATTTGCTATTTGGTTATGCTGAAAAAGCTTTAAGAATCGAAACTCTTTTGCAACTTGATATGCTAGATCATCCTGTGAAGATTGTACAAGATAGCCAAACTAATCATTAGACCACTGCACATTAGGAAGATTGTAGTTACTGAACAGATACATGTTGCTTGAAGGATATTGTAAAACAACATTTTCAACTATCTCGCTGTGCCCACCATAAGCATTTGCTGATAATCTTTTCCCCTCCAACTATAAATTAAACCCCTTCTGTGGCTCAGTGGTAAGAGCGCCTGCCTTTAAATCTAAAGGTCATGAGTTCGAATCCCACCTGGGTGGAAATTTTCGTTTATTAAAAAAAAATTAATAAATGAAAATAATTTCTATCCTTGTGTGATCGGTACACACAGGAAGGACCGCAGACGTTCGGATACAATTAGCGTCTCTTAGCAAAGACAATGACGTCAACTTTGCTAAGTATCAAGACAATTACTCTACACACACAAACACACACACACACACACACACACACTACATTAATAAACTTATCTTGATTGAGACTGGCTGAATGACAATTGTCCAAGCCAAAACACACACAAAAAAAAAACTATAAATTAAGTATTATTAACTTGCACAATACAAATTTCTGATCCACTCCATTTTCTATCAGCTGGATCCTTAATGTCATAAGGTGGTTTTAACAGATATAATAAGAATACACTGGGTAGGGTATGGGTTACTTTCTGAATAGAGGTGAACCAACAATATTCACTATGAGAGGTCTAGCAATCTTTGTATATCATATTTATGTAATCTACCAAACTAATATAGGGGGGGCGGTTATGAATGCTGGAGGTGGGAGGTACATTTATTATGTTATTTATTATGTAAAGAGAGATAGATAGACCACTGATTGAGTGCTCTGTATTTCAATAATATTTTGCTCACTATGTCTAATCTATTTTTATTATGGCTATATGTTTCAACTGCTTTCATTTTGCGAACTGTCAAATTTTGAACCTAAACAAATTTCATTTGTGATACCCAGTTCTTTGTTTTATAAGACCATTTGTTTAGAGTACTTCAGAGTTTTGCTGTTGTTAATTGTTTTAATAATTCCTCTTCAAGGTTAAGTGATTTCTTTTTGTGAGTACTGACACTTTTATAAAAAAAAAAACAAAATTTTATGTACAAATAATATACTTACTGTCTACTGTACCAAATTTAATAGCTAAACATTCAGACTTAGGTTTCTCATCTGCAAAATCTACCATAACAGTATAAACAAAAGCTTTATCACTACCCTTGCTGGGTTTCAGCTCCATCCATGGAGTTATGAAATGATTAGCACAAACTTTCAAAGTCTTATCTCGCCTCATTACTACTCTTACTGAATGAGTTTCATTGTGTCTTAAAAGCTTTAATTCTCCAGTACCTCTTTCCTAAAAATTATATTGTTTTATTTAAAAACCAAAGAATTAATAGAATAATACTTTACCTTCCATTCAGCAGAAGAGGGCTCGGAAGAATCATAGCGGTATAATTTAGCTCTTATTTTTAATAATTCACTTTCGTTCTCTTCATTTGTAGATATTTCAACTTCCGGTAACGAAATTATTGGTTTAAACTGAGGATCATACTCTGTATCACTGCTTTCGCTTTCTTTTCGTTCATTTTCTAAGCTTTTATCCTAAAAAATCGTATAAATTTGAAGGTTAGAACCATGCCGATAATGAAACTGTGACACTTAGCTATTTATCGACTTACCAAAGATTTGGTTTCACTCATTTTGCTGCTTTTACAATGATGTCTGAAAAAATATAGATTAATTTTAATTTAATTTCTAATTACAATATAACGAATTTCTTTGATTTAGAACATTGACATTGACAAAATCAAATTTACAAATGACATATTCAATATTCATTATTCATTGTCCAAGTGACCAACATTACCAGTGACACCAACAACAGATGACTTAATTTCACTTGTTTCCAGGATTCCAGGTATCTTCTGTTTCTGTTCTGACCTCGTTTCAGCGGTAGGTATATGCATAGATTAAATATATATAAGTAGAGAGTATGGGTATATGTTTGCTATGTTCCGAGACATAACCGATCTCTATGAGTAAATTATATAGTCCATCAGTAGGATGCTAATCTTGCTAAAGACTCCCTCCTCCTTTATTTCGTCTTGGGACCGGCAACAGTACTGTTAAGCCTCTCGGTTCAATCAACAGCAGTTCTGGCTGAGAACAGCAGAAATGAGAATACTCAGAGGAATCACAGGAAACATGCTGAGATACTGAATAAGGAGTGATGAGATCAGAACAAAATGTAATATATACGCTATGAACGCGAGAGAACGACACTAAATGGAAAAAAGAATGAAACAATCACAGCAGCAGAATGGCGGACAAGAGTCGTTAAAATAGCAAGCGAAAATCATCAAGTATTGTTCTGAAGCTATTTTTTTGTGGCATCTTACTGCAATTTACTATTTTTATTGCGAATAAGCGACACAATTATTTTGTCATTTCGACTTCAACTTCGGAAATAGTTTTCAAAATACAAACTCTATCTTCTAATAAAGTCGTCCCATGAATGCAACTCAAAAATATTGACAGTATCATTTTAAAGTAGGTAATCTAATGGAGCTCCTTGGTTGATGATATCGTGTTAGTACAGGAGAGCTATTGAAGAAGGAGGACTTAAGGATAGCAGGTCGAAAACGGCGTATATGAGGTTGGGAGGAAAAGGAATGGTTGGGGACATATAACTGCTTGGAGAAAAAATAGGACGAGTGGGAGAATCTAAATAACTTGGCTCCTACATAATGGAAAATAGGACGCTAGATCGATAAATTGCCCACAGGATACAGGTTGGTTGGTTTAACTGGAAGCGAATGAGCTGGGTATCTGTAATTAAAAAATCCAATATACAAAATATACAAGAGTGTGGTGAAACCTGCGTTGGTGTACGGCGCTAAAGTATGGTCTGTAAAGAAGATTCAGGAAAGAAGATGGGGGTAGCTAAAATGATAATGTTACGGTGGATGTTGGATGAGACTAGACTAGACATGATTAGGAACGATTTTATTAGCGAAAGAGTCAGGTTGACTACATTTTCAAAAAATATTTAAGAACAACGAAGAATACAGCTGTTGAAGTAGATGAAGGAGTGGTAGAGAAAATAGAGTAGAAGATGGAAGGGCTGTGTAGAAGATGAGTTAAGAGAGAAAGGTTTAGGTGAAGCAGATTCGATGGAAAGAAATAAGTGGCAAGGAAGAGTAAGGAACAGCGACCCCTGAAAGGAAAAAAGCTGAGAAGTAAAAAGAATTTTTTACCAAGTAACAACACAGTAACAGTTTTGTATTTTGACAACGATTTTCGAAGTGGAAAACGATACGTCAAAATAAACTTATTTTAAAGTAAAATTATGGCTTATTTCTAATCGAAATAGTAAATTAAATCATTAAGTGGTAGAAGTATCGACCGATCGCGCAAGTGATGGAGTGGGGAGTGCCAATCTTCCATAGAGGAAACGAGCAAAATTGCTTATAGAAAGGAAGAAGAACTAACATAACTATTCTCCAGAGGCTAAGAATTTTCTGTAACATCGTAAAGAACAGAAAATTGGCTTACCTCGGCCACATTATGCGTAATAATAAATACCGACTTATACAATTGATTCTAAAAGGCAAGATTGAGGACACGAGACGACCTGGACGCAGACTTATATTCTGGCTATCCAATCTTAGGAAATGGACTGATCAACTGATTAACATGATCAACAATAATGGCCCAGGAACAAAGTAAACAAAGAAAATGAACAACGTCATCCAGAATCTATACAACTGAATTTCGTTCTACGCCATACTTTCGAAGATAAAAAGGAACTACTGAAAAGTAGTTTAAAAAAACGGGTGAGACAGTCCAGTGTCAGGTAGAAGTTATTCTTCCATACACGCGTTCGCTATTACAAATTTATAGGGGAGTCAATCTGCGCAATCATTACATATATAATGCTACAGGTAGGAGAGAGCAGAAAGAGAAACATAATTAGGTATATAGGTATATGGTGCATCGTTTGCTGTATATAAACTTTTGACCTGTAATAGGAGTATAGTAAAATACTCTGCAGTAAAATTCATTGTTTATTTTGTAAAAATACAATACAATACACTGCAACATAATTCAATATAGTATAATACAAATTAAAATGCAATATTCATACGTATTTAAAACTGAAAATATATATATATATATATATATATATATATATATATATATAATTCGCACCCTTAGTATTAAAAGGGCACATCTCGAAAATTAGGGTTTCTGAGTTTTTGGCATAAATGGGCACAAAACTACTAGTACTACAACTTGGTATGGACAGAAATTAAAAACGGAGAATATAAAGCAAGTCCCGATATAATGTGACCTTTTCGTACTTCCCTCTCCGCCAACACATCTTTCCGCGAGATAGGCCCATTCAGTAAGGTGCCGATCTCTGTCGAAGCAGGTGTGTTAGTGAGCGCTCCCATTACGAGTTGAGCCCTTCTATTACAAAACTTGAGATACGTGTTGTTTTAGATTTTTTGTTTTATAAAGACGCATTAATATTAAATGCTGTATATTACTAAAATTTCCGAAAATTTATGGGTTTATTTAAAGAAAGTTCTTTATATTACTAAAATTATTGTATGATTTTTGGAATTATATCTAAAGGATTCTTGTTATTACAAAAATATCTGTTTGATTTACAACATCATTGAAAGTTAACTCCTTGTAATACTAAAATAATTCAACGAGTTTCTTACTTGTGTACATAAACTACAAAACTACAAAGTTTTTGTGTTGTTTAAAGTATGTTAATAAGGTCGCAATTAAACTACTGTATTGGCTGAACATAATTAATGATATTCATACATTACAACATGATCATGTCGCCCATTGTCCCCGTTGCGAAGTGGTCTTAACTTGACATTGACATATTTGACATAGTTACCAGGTTTACGTTAAGCCTATCTTACATTAATGTCAAACACCTTCCCCTTAAAGATTAAGGCGTACCCTAGGTTTAATTGTACGTCCGAATTTTGAAACATTACATTTCTTACTATCATTATTTTTTGAGCAGCTATAATGAGGACTTACAATATCAGTATTCCTATGTTCATTAAACAAATTTGTTAAATCATTATCCTGAATACATACATTATTTAAATCATTATTATCATTATCCTTATAACTATTTGGGTTTGTGTGTGGATACAACTCAGGGTCAAGATACATGTCTGCTACATCTGATTTTGTATGTGATGGTCTTATGTATCTTGTGTTTCTTCTAACTATCCTATTATTGCATTCCTTTCTTATCCAGTACGATCTGGGTTCTTTAGCTTTTTCTACAATAACAGCTTTATACCATACTTTATCAACACTACTCTTAACAACTACATTATCCCCCCTTTTATAAGTTGTTGGTGTACGTTTACTATATGTTTATCATACTGAACTTTTGTTTTTTGTTGTTGGTCCGATAACAGTTTATAAATCTCATTCTGAATTTTAGGTTGTAATTGTTCACTATTTACTGGTATTTCTGTTCTCAAAGATCTACTATTTAATATTTGTGATGGAGATGCACTTAATGAAATAATAGCAGTATTATTATATTCTAAAACTAACTCACGATAATCAGAGTTTTCTGTAAAACTTTTTTTTAAAATTTGTTTACAAATTCCTACAGCCTTTTCAGCAAGGCCATTACTTTGGTGGTAATGAGGTGAACATGTCAGGACTGTAATTTGTTTATTATCGTAATATTTTTTACACTTAAATGATATAAATGGTAAATTATCTGCAATTAAAAATTGAGGATAGCCAAATCTGGAAAAAACATCTTGCATTGCATCTATTATGGCTTCAGATGTTTTATTATTTATAGCATCTCTATCCAATGGGAAAAATAATCTATTAGAATTAAGTAAGATTTACCACCAAATTCCAAAATATCAGCCGCAATTTTATTAAACCTCAATTTTGGTATTGAATGTGCTAACATTGGCTCTCTATAATTATTTGGCATGAATTTTTCACAAATTCTACATTTTTTTATAAACTGGACAATATCATCCCTAAGGTTTGGCCAAAAAAATAAAGATCTTGCTTTATTAATAGGTTTACTAGTTCCTATATGACCTTTATGTAACAGAGTAATCATTTCCTGTTTTAGAGATTTTGGTACAATTATTTTATTTTCAACAAAAACAATTCCTGCTTCAACATATATAGGTATCATTTTTAATACTGTAATATGGCTTTATATACTCTGGAATCTTGTTTTCTTTAGGCCAGCCTTTATAATAAAAATCAACAATTGTAGCCAAAACTTTATCTTTAGAGGTTTCTTCTCTGAACTGATATATTTTTTTATCTGTCATTGGTAAGTATAGTGAGACTGAATGAACCATATCAAACATCTCTAAATCAAGGGTTTGTGCCTTTAAACTAGCTCTAGAAAGCATATCTGCAAATTGAATATGCTTTCCTGGAACATAATAAATATTTAATATGTACTTTAATAATTTTAGCCTTAAACGCTGCAACCTTACTGACCCAATTTTGCATATGGGTTTCTGCATAATTGAAATTATTGGTTTATGATCTGTTTGGACATCAACATCACAATGGCAAATAAAGTTATGAAATTTTTGTGTACCATAAAAAATGGCTAATAACTCTTTCTCTGTCTGCCTGTAATTTATTTCATGTTCATTCATAG